CCCCCTAGGGGTTCCCTAAGGGGGGGGGGGTTTGGCAAAAACCCCAAAATTTTTTTTTCTTATTACCCCCGTAAAATTGCCGGGGTATTGCCCCCCGGTTATTTTTTTTTCCCCCCCCAATTCCCCCCGGGGGTTTTTTTGGGGGCCCCCAAAAAAAGGGTTTGGTTTAAATAATTTTTTTCGCGGTCCCCGGAAAATTAAAGGGGGTTTTCCCGAAAAACCAAAAGGGTTTTTTTGGGGGGATTTTTGCCCCCGGGGGGGCCGCGGTTTTTTTTTTTTTTTTTCCCTTTGGGGGGGGTTTTTTCGGGGAAAAAAACCCCCCCCCCCCCCTCCCCCCCGGCCAATTCCATCCCGGGAAGGGGGGTATACCCCACCCATTTTTTTTGGGCCGGGTTTGGGCAGGGGGAAAACCCCCCCCCAATTTTGGAAACCAAAAGGGGGTTGGGCCCCCCCCCCCCCCCCCCCCCCCGCTGAATCCGTCGTTACCGTTCTTCTTCCGTACACCTAACCCTCGCTAGCTCCTAGCTAACTGTATTGCTAAAAAAATCATGTGTGATGCGTTTTTTGGCGGAAGGCCTGTTTCACAAGCCGTTCGTGCTTTCTGCGGCGAGGCCTTGGCGACATAGCGTCGGACGTTATTACTCATCAGCGTGAAGGTCGGGGCGGGGTAGGAGGTGGGATCGTACACGAGAGAAGAATTCTTGGGTGTTGATATATTCATACCATGTGTTTGCTGTGCTGTGCTATCTGTCTTTCTGCCGCCGCCGCCGCCGCCGCTGCTGCTGCTGCTGCTGCTGCTGCTGCTGCTGCTGCTGCTGCTGCTGCTTTCGTACGCCAAACATCCTAAACCAAGTCTCTCTGTTTGTCTCTTTGTGTGTGTGAGCGTCTCGTCTGGTTGTGATGTGGGGTGGTACCTGTTCTGCAACCGTTGTGTCCATCGTGTCCATCCTCCCGGAAAAGAAAAACGCGCGCACACACAACACACTGATGATGACCCGGAGAATAGATTGATTTCCCCCATGCTGCTCCCTCACGGGGTCCCAGTTTATGGCAGATAGAAGTGTTTTTGTGTTTTCAACCGCACTAAGACTGACGTCTTTTCATTGGTCAGCCGGTTAGCGCTGTCGATGCTAATAACGAAAAAGCATACACACACGCACAACCTCCCATATTGTGTCTACAGGTACCGGGACAGCAAGGCCTATCCGCGCGACCCGAGAGGCTTCCTCGAGCTGAAGGGTTGCTTCCTCGTCAGGGGGTCTTCGCAAAGGTGAAAGTCCTTTGTGTTTAATGCATTTTTTTTTTTTTTTTTGACAGAACGGCAGTTAGGGTGCTGCAGCCGCTGCGTAGGCGGCGTCAGAAAGGCAGGGATCACGCGTGCCGGAGAAGCTCACGATACGTTCGCGACATGGGTCCAGCGGGTCAAATCCAGGAAGCCACTTGCCGTTTGAACGGAACGGCCTGTCTTTTCCTGCGGAAGGAAGATTTTGAATTGCCGTAGGCCTCGCATAACCGGCTATTTGTTTTTACACAATACGGCAGATAGGGTGCCGCAGCCGTTTTATGTGTAGGCGTCAGAAGGTGGCGACCACGCCTGCCGGAGAAGCTGTGCAACGATACCTTCGCGATATCCACCACTGTTTGAACGACCCTTCTGTCTGCCAACGGTGTGCGTGCAGGTGGAAGATTTTGTCCGCGGACGTTACGGCGGAACAGGATGACTACAACCGGGAGATGGGGGCGAAAACCGCAAAGGAGATGGAGAGCTGGTTCAAGAGCTTCCAAGAGGTGGGGTGTTTGTGCGTGCGCTTGAGAGGGGGGGGGGGGCGTGGAGAGAGGAACAGAGAGGCAAACAGACAGGCAGAGGGAGTGGGAGAGAGAGACAGGCAGAGGGGGTGGGAGAGAGAGACAGGCAGAGACGGGCAGAGGGACAACGATAATACGTTGCTAGACATGTTGCATGTGGGCGGGTTTTGTTTCACCAACTGCGACAGATAGGCCAGCCCACAGCAAATTGTTGCTACCGAGCTGCAAGCATGCTTTGCGACTTGTTCGTTTTCCTTCATCGTAGCTTTGGTACTGTAGATGCCATCATGTGCATGACGCCATCATCACCATACTGTAGATGTTATTGGGCTGGGGGTAGCGTATGTCCAACCATGTTCTGGTTTTGCTTGCTGCGTAGCGACGTTCGAACCGAAAGACAACGGCAGAAACACATACCAGTACCGTTTTTTCTTGTGTGTGTGTTTTTTTACTATGCATATTGGCATCGACCGCGCTTACCGGCTAACCAATGAAAAGACGTCAGTCTCAGTGCGATTAAAAACACAAAATCACTTCTAAATGCCATTAACTGGGACCCCGTGAGGGGGCGGCATAGGGGAGGCTAACTAATTCTCCGGATCAAAGACAAAAACGAGGTCAACAGAAGAAAAATGCGCACGTCTATGAAGGCTGCTAAGTTCGTTGTGGAGTGGTTTCACCGTCATCCTCCTTCCTTCCAGCTCCATCGTTCTCTTGGTCGTTTTCACAGCAACTTCTCGACGTTGGTACTCTACATAGCCCTGCGTCGGTTGTGGTGGAGAAGGTCATCTGTGTGTGTTGATGTGTGTTGATGTGTGTGTGTGTGTTTTTATTACTACTGTATGTTTGCATGGACCGCGCGAATCGACTGACCAATGAGAAGACTCCAGCCTCGCGGCAGCGTGTGTCCGTGTCCTTATGATAACCATCAACCGCGCTAATCGACTGACCACTGTGTGTGTGTGCGTGTGTTCGTGCCCATCGCGCTTGCTGTCACGGTTCGATTGGATTGGATTGGATTGGATTGGATTGGATCGTCAGGCCATCGACGGCGCCGACACGGGAGAGGGCCCTGCCGGAGTGACCCTGCCATCGCTAGACTCGGAGGAGCAGGAGTTGGATCGCCTCCTGTACCACGGGACGAAGGTGAGACCCGCACAAACCGGTTGGCCCGCCCGCACCCCCCCCGCCGAGATTCCCTTCACCACCCACGGAACGGAACCGCCTTGCCGTTCGCTGTCTCGCTGATTTTCCCCTCGGCCTCCCCGCCCCGCCCGGGCGTTTTTATCGGGGGCCGCCTTCGCGCGATTACTACGTTTTTGATGAGGAGATAAAACAGGGAGGGGAGGGACGCAGACCCTATTCCTGACCCTTAGCCTGACCCACCTTCCCCGAGTGTATGCTTTATCCAACATGATTACATAGTACGAAAAACCCTGCGAAGGCTACTACTGTGTATCGGGGGGGGGGGGGGGGGGGGG